TCTTTTCCCAGGGGTAAGGTACACATTTGTACATTTTAAAAGCCCAATGTCTTAACATAGAACTGGCGACAAAACAGGGTGCGTGGAATCTACATAACTTAAAAAACAGAATTGCAGTGGAATATAGTATAATTATGTTCCCTCATTAAAGGTACTGAGGATGTATGCTTAAGGATACCACCCCAGTGACCGTTCAGTACCCAGTTTTGTAGAGTGTAGGTTAAAAATGATTCAATTCGTTTTCCATCAGAATTTGCATGAATGGGCCTGCGGGAGAATTCAATGATCAATAAAATCAATCATCTTCAGTGTAAATCTCTAAATGCATTTATAAAAGCATGTATATTTTGTTATTTATCTGAAATTGAAAGATTTCCCCTCTTATCATTTGAAAAACGTTATTGCTTTTGAAAAATATGCACTGTTTCTAACTGGTCAACTGCTGTATGTAATGTAAGGGATGCAGATTGCTGAATTTTGGTAGAGTGACCCAATAACACAAGGTAATTACAGTCCTTCCCTTCTAAGTTCTCACAGGCAGAGAACACTTTGCCTACTTCAGCACGATTCCCTCTCTTTTCATTTCAAATTGCCTCTGTGATAATATACTTGTCCGAGGTCTTGCCAAACAGAGACTGGGTGAAGTGAAGTGAATTGTCCTGAATTGCACGCAGAGAGAGAGAAGGAGAGAAAGGAGGGGGAAAGAGCAGCTGTCAGCGAGATGGAGAGAGACATCAGTGTCCTATTGATTGGAGAGGGGGCTGGGATTGGCTGTGGTCTGCAGATGGAGAGCCTCCTTCAGCTGGACTGTGTGATATGAGCGTGCGAGGCAAAAGCTGAACCACTGTCCACCTCAGAAAGGCCACTGAGCGAAAAGAGCAGCTACATTAAGACTGTGGGTAAAGATGGAAGTAACAGACAAATAAAAAAAAAAACTAACAAACACAGAAAAGGACAAAATGTCTTTAATGTTATTATACAAGAATCAGTGAGTGGCTGATAATGATGCTAAGAATAGAATAATGATGAAAAGTAGAATAGTAAAAAATAGGTCTATATACATCAAATGGCCACTTCATTAAGTACACCTCCTTATATCTACACTCTTTGTCCATTTTATCAGCTCCACTTACCATACAGGTGCACTTAGTAGTCCATCTGTTTCTCTGCATACTTTGTTAGCCCCTTTTACCTTATTTTCAATTATCAGGACCCCCACAGAGCAAGTATTGTTTGGGTGGTGGATCATTCTCAGCACTGCAGTGATACTGACATGGTGGTGGTGGTGTTAGTGTGTGTTGCGCTGATCTGAGTGGATCAGACACAGCAGTGCTGCTGGAGTTTTTAAACACCTCAGTGTCACTGATGGACTGAGAATAGTCCACCAACCAAACATATCTATCCAGCCAACAGCGTTCTGTGACCACTGATGAAGGACTAGATGATGACCAACACAAACTGTGCAGCTACAGATGAGCTATTGTCTCTGACTTTACATCTGCAAGGAAGACCAACAAGGTAGGAGTGGACAGTAAGTGGACACAGTTTAAAAACTCCAGCACTGCTGTGTCTGATCCACTTGTACCAGCCCTACACACACTAACACATCACCACCATGTCAGTGTCACTGTAGTGCTGAGAATGATCTACCTCCCACATAATACCTCCTCTGAGGTGGTCCTGTGGAAGTCCTGAACATTGAAGATGTGATTGAAAGGGTGGTTGGGGGGCGGTGGTAACAAAATATGTCGCAAAACAGATGGACTACAATTTGTAACTGTAGAACTACAAAGTGCACCTATATGGTAGGTGGAGCTGATAAAATGGACAATGAGTGTAGAAACAAGGAGGTGGTATTAATGTTGTGGCTAATCAGATAGCAGGCTGTTGGGCATCCCAATCCAAAACCATGGACATTAATATGCCACTTTAACTCTTCTGGGAAGGCATTTTACAAGATTTTGCAGTGTGTCTTTGAGAATTTGCACCCATTCAATCAAAAGATTGTTTGTGAGGTCAGGCACTGATGTTGGATGAGGAAGCCTGGCTCACAACTGACATTCCAATTTATCCCAACAGTGTTTAATGAGGTTGAGATCAGGGCTCTGTGCAGGCCACTGGAGTTCCTCCAAACTCAACCTCACTTTGTGCACTGGGGCACCAACATGCTGGAACAGAAAAGAGCCTTCCCCAAACAGCTGCCACAAAGTTGGAAGAATATAATTGTCTAAAATGTCTTTGTATGCTGTAGCACTAACATTACCATTCACTGGAACTAAGGGGCCCAAACCCTGAAAAACAGACGATTATCCCTGCTGCCAATTCTCATAGTTCTCTCCCCTCCTGGAGTCTTAAAGTATCTTCTCATAGTACAACTATATGTTTAAGGCATCATCAGAACTCAAAAAGATCCATATATCCACCTATTTAGCCTACAGTAGTCAATATAGACTGGCCCTGCCCACTCATATTGAAGTTCTAAAGTGTGTTTCGGCTCTGAGTGCTTTTTGGTTGAGGCTCAATACAAGACAGCTCAATCTGAACAGAGCTTATTTATCTTATATCAGTCTTGAAGGCACAGTAACAAAAACAGCCTGTTTAATTCTAAAGGATAAAGAGGGCTTTAAAAAATGAATGTAAAAATGAATTTTGGCTGTTTTTAGCACACAAAACAACACAATATATGTTATATACATATATATATATATATATATGAAAATGTAGGATGTGGGCTCTTTACTGTTTAAAACACCAGCTATCATCACTCACTTAATGGCTGCTGCATGTGATTTGGGTAGCTAAACGATACAAGCTTGTTGTCTGAAGTGTACTATTTACTACACTGTAGTAAAAGAGGGAATAAAGTGAGAATAAAATTAAACTGACCACAACATGATAAGTGATCTCCTTGAAATGAAAAGATCATATTTTACTGGGAAATGAAGGTGAGTTGGAGAACACAGCTGGGAAATGTTGTTGTTTTAGGCTGTATTAAGCTTAAAATGGTCTAATTTCATTCATTCATAAACACATTTGCTTAGATTGTGTAACTTTCTAGCACTGTGAAAACACATTGGGAAGAGACATTTAATTAGCTCTCATTCATTCATTCATTCATTCATACATTCCTTCTAATATGATTCAGCCCACTCTAGTCTCTTTACTCCTCCCCCTCATATTTTGATCTCAGTCTGTGTGATGTGGCTCTGATGTCATTTGGAGTGACCCAGTACACTCACTACAATATTTAAACCACAACAGAGCAGCTTCTCCTCACTCTACTGAGCCAGGACACACACACTCTCTCTCTCTCTCTCTCTCTCTCTCTCTATCTATCTCTCTCATTCTCTCTCTCTCTCTCTCTCTCTCTCTCTCTCTCTCTCTCTCTCTCTCTCTCTCACATACACACACACACACTTAGGGGAAAGAACTGCGCAGGTCGCGCACGAGAGCGC